CTGTGGGTCTGTCTGTCTCTGCCTCTCTCTCAGAGGACTCGAGTTTCTCAGTGTAAGGTTAGGACAGCAGAGCTGTGGAAATCAATTCCTGAGCCCTGGCGCGCTGCCCTGGGCACAGATAGCCCAGCTCTGCTGGGAAAACCTGGATGGGGAGAGGGAGCTGAGGAGAGCTGGAAATGGGGGTCTGGGGAAGGGGAGTTACATCAGCCCTTGTAGGGAATATCCCAAAATAAGAGAAGTGTGTCATCCTGTTCTTCTAAATTCTTCTCAGCCTTCTGATGTCTACATTCTTGTAATAAACATCCTCACATAGTTTAAAGTAAATAATTATTGTTTTACATTCTTCTCTAGAAGACGAAAAGTTTATTAAACTGTTAGCTTGTCCAGTATTATTAAAGAAGTAGCACTTTCATCCTCCAACACACTCTCACTTTCGAAAATCTAAAAATGTTAGAATCAAAAAATAAACTGTGTCGGTGTTCACAGGGGTCTTAGGATGAGGGAAGAGATGAGGATCTGACTCCATGCTTCAGAAGGCTGATTTATTATTTTATGATATATATTATATTAAAACTATACTAAAAGAAGACAAGATTTCATCAGAAGGCTAGCTAAGAATAGAAAAAGAAAGAATGAATAACAAAAGCTTGTGTCTCAAACTCTGTCCAAGCCAGCTGACTGTGATTGGCCATTAATTAGAAACAACCACATGAGGCCAATCACAGATGCACCTGTTGCATTCCACAGCAGCAGATAATCAATGTTTACATTTTGTTCCTGAGTCCTCTCAGCTTCTCAGGAGGAAAAATCCTAAGGAAAGGATTTTTCATAAAAGATGCCTGTGACAATAAACTTCCCTTCTTTTTACCTTAAAAGTTCCAGTGTACATGTCATTTTATTTCTTGTCCTATAGCAACAGGGGTGTGCATGGGAGAGACAAAACCACCCTGCTGTAACCCACTGGGCAGTTTTCACCTGTGTCCCAGTCCACCTCTGCTCTTCTTGATGGTTTATACCGGAAAACAATGAGGGAACAGCGTGGCTTTGCCCAAAAATCTGGCTCCCAGCCCTGCTGTACCCCAGCTCCAGCACAGCCCAGCTGCCTCCTCCGTGCCTTCCACATCACTGGATCCAGCCCTGCACTGGGAATCCCCTGGGATTCCTGACTGGGAGGGCAGAGGGAAGGGTTGGCAGCCAGGATGGGAAATGTTGATGGCATTTTTCCCCAGGGATCCTCGTGCAGGAGTTGTTGATGGCGTATCCCACTTGAGGAAAAGTCTGTTAATGAGGCTTGAGGGGTTCTGATGTGCAAAAATTTCTAATTAGAGACTCAGGATTCCAGTGTCCTTAGCCTGAATATCCTGCACAGCCAAAACTTGTTGAGTGGGATGTAATTGCCTCCTTTGCTCTCAGGGCTGCCCAAAAGGATGAGGAAACTGAGACTCAGAAAGGAGCACCTGAGGCTGCCCTGAAAACCCTCCCAAACTAGGACTGAAAATCAGATTTCTTAACTGAAAGGGAAGCAACAGACTTGAAGGGGGATTTGATAACATTTGCCTTCAAAGTGCTTCAAGAAAACCCCTCGGGGAGTCAATCTGAGTGACCCTGCTGTGAGGTACATAAACAAGAGGTGTTTCTCTTTTCCAGATAAGGAATCAGAGGTTAAGTGGCCAGAGGGAGGAGGGCACACTGCCATCAGCCAGGTCCAGACTCCAGCTTCACTTCTCCCTCAAGGACTGAGCCTGCACAGAGATGTTTTTCAGCAAATTCAATCTGCCAGCCCCACCCATCACTCTCCATTACATTTCCAGCACTCCTCACTCTGCATTGCTTGTGCCCCTTCTCTCTCTTTTGGGGATTTATTGCTCCAAGTTTTGACTCTCTGTTGCCACTGACCCTGGATGCAAGGAGATGAAATATCCAGCATTTCTGTGGTACAACCAGTGAACAAATTCATGCCTTTCTGTGCTGCTTGCACATCTCTGTGCTGTCCCTTCACTGACAGCAAGCACACTGGAGGATGGATGCAGGGTGAGATGGGGTGGGAACACACTACAAAGGTCTGTGTCAAATGGAAATATCCTCAGCTCAGCAGGATGAAAGCTTTCTGGGCTCTTACCGACCCCACCACAATTCAAGACTGGTTTGCCAAGGTTCTCTTGAACAATTCCAGAGCATGAGCCTGATTTTTGGGCATGTTTTGGGATGAATCCCCCAGATCTGATTTGAAGACTGTCGTGGCTTTGGATGAGGGTCACACAAGCTGACAGAAGCAGAGCATTCAGAGAACTGACAGAAGGCTGGAATATGGTCCAGGTTTGTTCCCTTCTGTTCCAG